AACTCAATTGAAGGATTATAAACACAACTACTGCAAATGATTCTCACATCCTCGGAATAAAGGCGCTCCATTTGTGTTCAATTCATCGGAAAATCGACCAGTTGATGCAAAACACTAAACAGCTGGAGTCTGGTTGCGAGTTTATTGTTTTACTGAACAAAACATTGCTGTTTTAGCAGTCCGTGGTCGTTGTTCTCCATAATCTGTTTTGGAATATTGTTGTTTATACTCAACCACCAAGACAGGTGTGCCAGGTGATATTTGTCAAGTACGACAGGTAAGCTGGGTCCGGTAACATGTTGCATGTAGATTCTGATGATACTGATGCAGGTTGAAGTGGTGGGACATGTACACGGTTGATACTGATGAACAAATGGACAATGTGTAGATAGGGGGAATGATGTCACAAATACGTCTGGTAGTCATTGATGGAACTGTGTTGACACTTTCGAATAGTTAAATGACATCTCTCTCAAATGGTTTAAAACATATGTACGCAAACATTTTAACTGTTTAATTCCATTGAACCTCTGCCACCTATATATATGTATGCATATAAGTATATATGAAATATGTAACCAACAACTACAAATTTCTTCAAATGTCAAACGTCTCTGTACCATGTGTGCCTGTCGACGGGATGCAGGAAGATACTTTAAGTGATGTCAGTGCAGCTGTACGTGTGTACGCGATAGCAGTTGTATATATACTCCTGTTTCACAACAGGAACGCTGCACGGTAATATGTCAGTTCTTACCGCCGTTACAAGTCTGACGAACTGTAGAGTTACCGCAACGTTACCGCAGCCGTCGCCGCAGCCGTTACCATTCACACGTGACATCCATGTTACCGTAACTTTGAGTAAACTTGCATATGCCACTAGAAGGGGTATGTGTCATTGCGACCAACTATTATACAAAATGATGTGCAATATATACATATATTTGATGTATAAGCAATGTATACTCGCATATAAATTCGAAATTTGCATTGATGGGAACAATAAAAAAGAATTTAAAAATACCAAACTATTATGCAAAAGAAAATTTTACTTTTTTGTGAAATATCAATATGAGTATCAATATATTTACCAATAAGAATTGAAGTCTTAGTATCAAATGATCAATATAAATATATATCCATTGATAGCAGATGTTTTTAAACCAACGTTGAGTGTTCGTATAAAACCCCGGAATGGGTGCACCGATTTTCAATATTGATTTTGGTGTCAAATAAATCGACCTATCAGTCTGGTTCAATCGGGAGGCTTCATTATACTCGATAGTTTATTCCAACCCAACAGAATCCAAAGTCTTACTAACCGAGAACTATGCATTTCCTGGCATGGCGAGAAAATCCATGTTATCATCAAATTAAATTTGCATCATATAAGATTATGTACATATGGAATTTCAGATGGCGAGTGGATCTGATGCTTGTCAATAAGACATCTGAAATTACTTTTTATCGATTTCTATACATTCGGCGTATATAATGACCCACTTGTAGGGATGACATTGGATTTCGCGGCTTGGCGATCTCGAATTGTAAAGAGCTATCAACTGAGCCAGATGGTTTTCACGTGATCACGTGTGCCCCACAGCGTTTGCTTGTATTCTCACAATCTAACATGGCGGAAACATTGTGGAAAAAACACGAAAATATTTTCACGGCGTATCGTGAAAACAAGAACTGTTTATTTTCCTGGTCTATCTAGAAAGAGAACATTTCGATCCGGCTCACTTTGCTGTCGACAACACATTGCAGAATTGTTGTATATAGTGGTTGTATATAGTGGTTGTATATAGTGGTTGTATACATGCTATACTATTTATAGGAAATTCAGGAACACTCCATTCTTCATGATAAGCTAATGTGTCTGTCGTGAGCCAATTCTTTCGTGTGACAGCAGTTATAACTGTCATGATCCTTCTTTCATATTTTATAACCAATCTGTCATGACAATATATTTTTTTATAAAATTGGGTGTTCTTTAATTTCTATTTAGCAATTTGTTATTGTAGATGTTTTTCAACACATACATCGTAAAGTGTAAGTGCTCTGAGCAACATCACACCCACTCACTGATGCAAAAGTTGTTAAGAATGTCTAATACTGTTTTTTCCTAGAGGCAAATGTGTGGTATTTAGAACACTCTTGATTGTTTTGTTTCCCAGCTTTGCGATTCTGGTAATGCATACCGCCACCAAAACATACAGCCACATCTGTTTGTTTCATGCTCAGAGGCTCGTCTATAGCATCTATGCTGTGAATGTGTTTTGTCACATTTGCCTCATGGATTGTCAAATTCCACATTTGACAAATTTCATTGTTGAAATGTCATATGCTTCTCGGTCTGTCAATCATTTTCTTGGTTGTCACTTTCCCTTTGTCCAGTAGAACTACACACGTATCAGGGGACATATTGCAGCTCAGAGGAGAGTGAGTGAGTGAGTGAGTGAGTATGGTTTTACGCCCCTTTTAGCAGTATCACGGCGGAGGACACCAGAAACAGGCTTCACAATTTGAACCCATCTAGGGAATCGAACCCGTGTTTTCAGCATGACGAACTGAAGTTTTAACCATTAGGCTACCCCCACCGCCATCTAAAAGGAGAACGGTGCCTAGAAGGCATAATCCTGACCCCAACTTGCCGTTTCCAACTCCCCCTTCCCCATCCTCTGGTTATATACCGCACAAAACCACACTGCGGCAAGAACAGCACCATATGCCATTATCTGGGAACATTCGAACAGACTATATGCATAAAGCTGATAGACACAAAAGAACAATCTTTTTCTCACACATGTCTTTTTCAAATATTTCTTTTTGCATATAAATGATATTCATACCAAGATGAGTGTTTTTGATTGAATATTAACGTGTTGTTTAGTTCAGAAATAGGACGTAATTTCGAATTGTGACCATAACGGGTTTAGCATATTTTGAGTGTGCAACATGGACGTCGTTGATCGACGAGAAAGCTATGTGTTTGAGAGACATTTAAATGTGAATATGTAGAACGTACCCGGAAGTGTCTCCATGATGGGTCTTTACGTAGGTGTACGTAAGTGTTGTAACACAGTACTCCAACTATATGACGCTGGTCTAAAAAACCCGAGTCTTGACCAGAAATCCAGTGATTGATAGTCCGAAGCATGGCACCTGGTTACGATGCCCCGTTATTTACATAGTCTCCCCAATCACGTTATGCATTTTGCCGCTCCATGCAACCAACAATGTATTCCCAGGCGGACGTTACTGTCTGTATGTATGTGGCATTTGGATTGTCCAATGGTATCTTCATCACTAATGCCACAGTAAAACCAGGAAGTGGCTTTACAATGGTATCTATGGTTCTTGTCTGTGTGTTCCAGGGAAACAGGAAGTGTCTTTACAATGGTATCTATAGTCCTTGTTCGTGTGTTCCAGGGACATCCGGAAGTGTCTTTACAATGATATCTATAGTCCTTGTCTGTGTGTTCCAGGGACACCAGGAAGTGTCTTTACAATGGTATCTATAGTCCTTGTCTGTGTGTTCCAGGGACACCAGGAAGTGTCTTTACAATGGTATCTATAGTCCTTGTCTGTGTGTTCCAGGGACACCAGGAAGTGTCTTTACAATGGTATCTATAGTCCTTGTTTGTGTGTTCCAGGGACACCAGGAAGTGTCTTTACAATGGTATCTATAGTCCTTGTCTGTGTGTTCCAGGGACACCAGGAAGTGTCTTTACAATGGTATCTATAGTCCTTGTTCGTGTGTTCCAGGGACATCCGGAAGTGTCTTTACAATGATATCTATAGTCCTTGTCTGTGTGTTCCAGGGACACCAGGAAGTGTCTTTACAATGGTATCTATAGTCCTTGTTTGTGTGTTCCAGGGACACCCGGAAGTGTCTTTACAATGGCATCTATAGTCCTTGTTTGTGTGTTCCAGGGACACCAGGAAGTGCCTTTACAGTGGTATCTATAGTCCTTGTTTGTGTGTTCCAGGGACACCAGGAAGTGTCTTTACAATGGTATCTATAGTCCTTGTCTGTGTGTTCCAGGGACACCAGGAAGTGTCTTTACAATGATATCTATAGTCCTTGTCTGTGTGTTCCAGGGACACCAGGAAGTGTCTTTACAATGGTATCTATAGTCCTTGTTTGTGTGTTCCAGGGACACCCGGAAGTGTCTTTACAATGGCATCTATAGTCCTTGTTTGTGTGTTCCAGGGACACCAGGAAGTGCCTTTACAGTGGTATCTATAGTCCTTGTTTGTGTGTTCCAGGGACACCAGGAAGTGTCTTTACAATGGTATCTATAGTCCTTGTCTGTGTGTTCCAGGGACACCTTGACGTGTCTTTACAATGGTATCTATAGTCCTTGTCTGTGTGTTCCAGGGACACCAGGAAGTGTCTTTACAATGGTATCTATTGTCCTTGTCTGTGAGATCCAGGGACACCAGGAAGTGTCTTTACAATGGTATCTATAGTCCTTGTCTGTGTGTTCCAGGGACACCAGGAAGTGTCTTTACAATGGTATCTATAGTCCTTGTCTGTGTGTTCCAGGGACACCAGGAAGTGCCTTTACTATGATATCTATAGTCCTTGTCTGTGTGTTCCAGGGACACCAGGAAGTGTCTTTACAATGGTATCTATAGTCCTTGTCTGTGTGTTCCAGGGACACCAGGAAGTGTCTTTACAATGGTATCTATAGTCCTTGTCTGTGTGTTCCAGGGACACCAGGAAGTGTCTTTACAATGGTATCTATAGTCCTTGTCTGTGTGTTCCACGGACACCAGGAAGTGTCTTTACAATGCTATCTATAGTCCTTGTCTGTGTGTTCCATGGACACCAGGAAGTGTCTTTACAATGGTATCTATAGTCCTTGTCTGTGTGTTCCAGGGACACCAGGAAGTGTCTTTACAATGGTATCTATTGTCCTTGTCTGTGTGTTCCAGGGACACCAGGAAGTGTTCTTACTATGATATATTTAGTCCCTGTCTGTGTATTTCAGTGACATCGGGGCGTGGATTCATGGCGGGCCCCATCATGCCAGTGTTGGTCAACTTGACCCTCTTCTCCTCAATTCCCCGGATGTCCTTTGGTCAAGCCAGGTAGGAACAACATCTTTTATAAATGTCATAACATGGTTTGTTTTACAGCCCAGGATCCAATGACTCACTGTATCGTTCTATCAGCAAAGAAACTCAGATAATTATCGTAACATTGAAACGTGCATCCGCCCATATGGACGCGTCTTCTGTATACACTCTGAAAAATTATTAAGTTTATACACTTCCACGTAGAAATATAAAACTGTGATAACGTTAAAGGGAAACTAGTTCCATGTCCTTCAACTACGCCGCTGAGAAGTGTATCGTCGATGATATTTACGGTGTGGTGTTGGTGTTGCTGTTGATCCTGAGGGCCTCTATAAGACTGTGTATGCACGGGCATGAAACAGGCTAGCCTTCAAAATGTCAAAGTACTCAGTTACATGGAAGGTTTCATCTTCATCTCATCTTCATCAACTGTCTGCCTTCCGGGATGATGTATCAGGTTCCCTAAACAGCTTATGTTACAAAACCTGAGACTGATTCTAATCTGTTTTACTGAAACCTGGTTGAAAAAGAACTAGCTGGAGTTTGAAAAAAAATATATCCACAGTTCATATCATGTACGTTGTGGTATAATTAGATGTATTGTATAGATGGATATAGATCTTCTGTATTTCACAGATCGGTGTTTCGCCATCAGCTCGTGATATAGACAACATGAGCTCGTGTGTGTCTCCATGCCTGTGAAAATCGCATTAACATTAACAGTGTAATACCATTCTCCTTAACATGTATGCTCGTATAACCACGCAACAAGAATTGGGGATGATCGCTTGACGCCTTATCATGCCTTACATACCTTCTATTACCCTGAGGGGCGGTGGGGTAGCCTGGTGGTTAAAGCGTTCGCCCGTCACGCCGAAGACCCGGGTTCGAATCCCAACATGGATAAGATATGTGAGGCCCACTTGCTGGAATATTGCTAAAAGCGGAGTAAAGTCAAACTCCCTCCCTCACTCTATTGCGCTGAAAGTGAAGATAACTCGCTAGCAGATAGAGATATATTGCCAGCCCTAGTTGTTGACTGATTATGTTAGAAAGGCCAAGGCCACCCGAGGTCAGACAACTGACCCAACATGATAAAAACGTTTAATTAACAACATTAACATACATTCAAGGTTAAGGTCAAGGAGAAGAGAAGCTGTTGTAAATGAAATGGTTCTGGTCTCTCATTTTGAGGGCTTAAAGGTGAAGGGCAGTGGATGTAAAGAGGATTTCTACCTTTATATTTCCATGTTTACAAGTTGATTTGTGTATTTCACACTCTATAAATCTGTTTCCCGAGTCTCTTTAGGATAATAATGGAATACATTACTGCATTCAAAGCGTGTAATCAATATTGATATGAGGAAATGTCACGTCAACATCAATATAATATCAACACATACACATTACCTCGTAGAATCAATATTTATAATACATGATTTGCTTTATATAAATATGTATTCAAACATGCACGCATCCTCAATGATAGGGGATCAGGTGTCCAAACATTGCTACACGTTACAATTAACAGAGTACAATGTCCACATTTCGATGAGATCTCAACTTTGTTGTCACAGATAAGTCTTTAGAGACAGGGATTATTGCCAGACTTAAGCCATCCATTATCCTAACTGCCTGCATGATTTGACAACGACCAATAACGATGCACCCTGGGAAGGGTTCTATAGTGCATACACATGTCCAGACCGTGCTGTTGTTGACAGAGGACACAATACATCAGAAGCAGTGGTAGTTTAGTCCCGTCCACAATATCAACATACGATTTATTGTATTGTGACTGGTTTAAATATTGTATCTTTAGTTGTCTGTTGACACAACAAACAAGGAACGTTAACAGTTTTATAGTAGACTTTGTGTGGATGATTTCACATTTCACGCATTAATGACAAAAACTGTCCGATACAATCCGTTAGTGTGACTTGTACCATGCGTTACCCTGTCTTCAAAGGTGAACAATTGACTTGCCTGTGCGTGTGTCTGTGGCACTATCGCGACATGATAGTAATTCATTCACACATGCCATAGTCGGGATTGTACAGTGTACTGGGTTTGAGCAGAGGTTTCATATTATTATGGAAATGTTTTTGCGCCCTTATTTACGGTTTCGTAATGTTCCATTGAAAGGCTCTTAGGAAGACGTCTGAATATCGTGGAAATGCTTGTGGCGTCTTCATTCTTGTGATAAAACTGCAAATCTAATTCATAACGTTAGAATTCCCTGTCTTCCTTCCTATAATAGAATGTTGGTGTAGGTTGACAGACAATAATGGTTTTACATTTTAGATTCTACACTAAATGTCTTCCTCAGCTAAGTACCAGTATCACGTGAAATAACCATATAATCAATATATAATCCACAACCTGATATTTACATTGCATTTCAGACAGTTCCCTTGATCATATTCACTGTTGGTGTTAAACCGATCGCGAAGGGACTTGACTGTTAGTTTACGTCCAAGTGTTGTCTTCGATCAGGGAGACTAATTACATTGTACTAATCATCAGTTATATTTATCTCATTTAGGGATGTGAACGCACGTACTTCATCCAATCAGCGGACGTGTGACAGTGACCAGTACACCATACTGTTGGTTATATTGTTGAATTTACCCGACGAGTAAAACGTCGGTATGATTACCAGTTTTTGAACCATCTTTGATCTCCCCTGTCAACACTTCATCACAAATGTGAATACCATTACAACGATGGGGGATTCCGTGGACGGTTTACACACCGCTGTTACAACATTTAACGTCGTGTATGTACGTGGTGACATACTTCCACTACGTGATGAAACATCTTGCATCCAAATCTCATCAAGATGTGCTCAGATGTCATTCAACCACAATCGTTTGATTTCGTGTTTGACTGATATCAAATATTGATACGGTCTTGCAGTTGTCGAACGGCCGTGACTGAATTTGTGTTTATTGGCTTTCAGTATTTACGTGACCATGAGGCCACTTAAGTTAAACCCAGAGGAACAGCGTATCTGAATGTCAAACCTTTTAGAGGTTGGCTTATGATAGCTTCTACAAAATACCGTTAATCCTCCTCCTCCAATACGTTGTCGGTGTGGCGCAGTGATCTATTATTAAAACGCTTTAGAAATTATGAGAATTGATCAGTTATGAGGTACTTTCTTTGTGACCGTTTACTTCAATAAATGTCCAACTTTGCCAATATGGTTCTTTGTAAGTAGTGATTGTCTAAAGGTCGATTATATTAGGTATCTATTTATTGTCTGGAACTGTTTGTTGAAATAGAATGCAATTATAATATATGCACCATAACACATAGGAACGGTGCTTAATTCTTACAATATCACTTTACCGTTGTTTAGGAGAGTGAGTGAATTTAGTTTTACGCCGCTTTGAGCAATATTCAAGCAATATCACGGCGAGGGACACCAGAAATGGGGTTCGCACATTGTACCCATGTGGGAATCGAACCCGGGTCTTCAGCGTGACGAGCGAACGCTTTAACCACCAGGCTACCCCGCCGCCCCCGGTAGTTTAAGTATACCATATATTGTATTGAATCCGGCTGTGTATCTGTTCTGTAATATTTTCTACCAGTATCAAATACATCACCATCTAACAACTTCTTGTTTCTTTCTGACGTACCGACAGTTCCTTTACATATACAACTAGTAAAACCACTTTTAAACAATATATTATATCACCCCGTATCAGATTAGATCTATTCCAATAAAATGTGCATACACGTTATTCTCCATACAGATTCAACACGTAGCATCAGCTCATGTAAGCAGAGAGAATCGTTTTGTCTCTTCAGAAAGGCAATATATTACCTCCCCGAGGAAAGCTGTTATCAGTGATAATGATTTCTCCCTGGACTGTCCCTATCTTCCTAATTTGCTCAGCATCACTACAGACAGCTCCCTTAGGGCCCGAGTCATTCTGACCAATCAAATTAACTGTCCACAAGCCCCGTTACTTGAGATCATCAGTCACGTGCTCCACTACCTCAGTGTCATATGAAACCCGCTCATGTGAACAACATCAATTGTTTAGTGGGGGAAAGATTCCATCGAGGTACTCTTGTCATCTCCTAGGACTCAAATACCATTGTTACGCTGTGGATGTACATGTGTCACTCAAGAAGGTTGTGACTGGGAAGACATAAACCCAGTGTATTTGAGCGACGCTTGGATTCCACTAACATAAATAAAAGCAAAACAATTAAATATAATTAATAACATGTTTATTAGATATTCCCCATGAAGGATCTTCGTTATAAAACATACAACGTTATAGATAACAACGTCTTATTTATTGCATAGAGCGATGTTTCGGTGTAGAGTCTAACATCTTGTTCAAGCTACAAGTCTCACCAACGTCTTGAATGCCGATCAAACAAAGGATCCTCGTAATTGATTTATGTTAGTTGAATAAATGACTATAGGACGATCTGTCACATGACTTCTCCTCCAGTGATTGCGCCATTGTTTGTATGCAGTAATTATGGATTAAGCGAGAGTGGTCGTCCTCTACTACATAAGACAGTTCAGGATCTGATGCTTCAATCTACGGCGCACATTAACAGCTAGTATATCTTTCATTATACGTACAATCGGTTTTTGTGTGTCACGCTCTTCCATTATTCTGTCCTGGGATTATCCCAGCTACGAGGGCTTCCATTAATAACATTTACTGTGTTACATGGTGGTCGGAAGTCTGTGCTGTAGTAGAGGCTTGGCGATCGTCTTAGCATTACGATCGCTGTGTAGAACGAGGCACCGTCACAAGTACATTCAATACCGACCAACATGGATCTTCACGTCTACACAAGTTCAAGCATTGTCTCCAAGCAAGGTGTTAATCATGAAGCCTTTGTTAAAATGGCGCCAGAGCCAACCAAACCTTTTAAAACCCACGTTGGGGTAGAAGTGAACTGTAAACATTTGTTTAGATGCACAACACAAACTCTGTCCCAGACTTTTTACGCTTCACGATCTAAACATATAT